ACGCTGTATAAGAAAAAGGCCAGGATATAGAATTGAGATCAGGTGTTTTCAAACTATGTTGAATTCAATAGACCTGATAGACATTAGAATGAGCATTTTTTTTTTTTTAAAGATTGATTTATGCGTACCAGAGCTGGGCTGTAGGCCAGAAATATGTGTGTGTGTTGAGGGTGGTGGTGAGAGAATTCACCAGAGACAGAGTGGGGAGCAGAACAGGCAGATCTACTGAAATACACTGCTGAGGGGAACAGTGGGGAGACAGGAGAGGACTGCAGTGCCCTGTGGGTGAAGCTCTCAGCTTCATAGTGCTGAGACTTAATCCCTTGCGCCATCAGGGAGGCCCCTAGAACGTGCATTTCATTGGCAGCACGGGATGGTGTGGACAGGCGTGCACACACATGAAGAGGAAAATGTCAGGGGCCTCCCCTGGTGGCGCAGCGGTTGAGTGCGGGGCTGCCCATGGCCTCTGCAGCGCCAGTTCGTTCCCCGGCCAACGGGCGAGGGTCCCACATGGCGCGCAGACCTCTCCAGCCGCACCCGCTGCTCCCCTCAGCAGTGTACTTTGGTCCTTCTGCCTGCTCTGCTCCCCGCTCTGGCTCTGGTGAATTCTTTCACCCTCCTGCGCTTCTGACTGTACCCAGTGCTTGTATAAATAAATAAATTAATTTTAAAAAAAAAAGGAAAATGTCAGAAAATAATAATTACTTTTACAGTAAACTCTGATAGCTCATATATTTTTTTAACCAATTGCTTGAGATTTGCCAATTGATTTCACGCCCTATGACTGGGTTGCCAGGTGAGGTTTGAAAATACAGGTGACTGATAGGTGTTCAGAACTAGGACACCACTCAAAGAAGTGGAATTCTAGAAGGAGCAAGTGTTTGTCGATAGTCCCATTCTCCTCTCCTTCATGGGGTGTGTTAGGATTCGACTTCTGTCTCTTTTGAGGTTCACTTGGAACCAGGGAGCGGCAGGACTACTGAAATGTGCTAAATGAATGATTCAAAAAAAAAAAAAAAAGACAACATGTATATCCTCAGCTCTTTCTTTTTTTTTTTAAAGATTTTTTTATTTATTTACACATGAACCAGGATACGGGCCAGATTCACAGGAGGGTGAGAGGATTCACCAGAGACCGAGCGGGGAACAGAACAGGCAGACTGACTGAAATACACTGCTGAGGGGAGCAGCAGGCGAGACAGGAGAGGTCTGCCATGACGTGTGGGAGAGGTCTGCCATGAGGTCTTGCCGGCCGGCCAGCCGGGATTGAACCAGTGCTGTGGAGGCTGCAGACAGCTTCACAGCACTGCACTCAACCGCCTGCACCACCAGGGGAGGCCCTAAATGAATGATTTTGATAGTCTTTTCATTAGCTACCTGAGCTTCCTCCTACCCACACTCAAGTCTCATTTCTCAGCAATTTTCCCTTTGGATTTTCTACCCAACTACATGGAACTGGTCTCGGTTTCAGAAATTACTCCCCTCCCGGTCTTTGCCCTGACTATATATTCAGCCTGTACCCTTTTCGTCCCCCCTCACTAATCAGTTCTGCCATTCATCAATATTCAGCTCATAAAACCTAGGTAATGTCATGAACCAATGTTACTTCAATGTAAAATTGAAGTTAATTCATCTCAGGTGCCTCCTCCTCCAGGATGACCTCTCTGACTGCACTCCCCAGCCTGGGTTTCTGCTGTGGGTTTTCCCCTCAGTGCCCTGCTCCCTCTGCGTTGTCACAGTCAGTCTCCCCTGTAAGATTGAGACCAGGAGGAGAAGTCTGCCTCAGTGATAGCTGGGCCCCCAGGACTAGTCCGTTCAGAGCTGGGCACACAGTAGGTGCTCAGAAGAAAAGGTCCTTGAATGCATGAAATGGACTCTGAGCGAGCAGGAAAGGCTGTGTTCTCTGAGAGCTTAGATCCCAGGTCTGTTGGCCTTTACTCAGCCCCTCTGCTGACAGACACCAGCTCCTCTCAGGGACTGCATTCAGAACTATGGCAACTGAGGCCAGAGCCCCCACAGCTCAACCCAGTCTCCCCTAGCCCCACTCACTTCCTTCTAGGAGCCCCAGAACTTTATTATTATTATTATTACTATTATTATTTTGCTAATGAAGACATCTGAATCTGGATAGATTTGGCTGAGCCAGAGGAAAACAGACTGAAACTGGCTGTTGGTCTCTTTTCCCCTCCAGGCCTGAGGCTGGCAGGGGGTGGGACACTCTTGGCCAGTCCTGAGGCCAAACCCTCAAACCTCTTGGCTTGGACTCACCCCACGCTTTTGGAAGGTTCTGGGATTCTGGGGCTGCCTGAGTCCTGGAGCCTCCTCCCTCCATCCAGACTCCTTGTCTGACACCCCTAGGCTTGGAATGGGGAGGGAGGGCAATGACCAGACTAAGCTTGGTCTATGCCCACTCAGTCCAAATAGCCTGGGGCACTTTTCCACTGGGGGAGGGGGTGCCTGCTCACCAGAGGGTAAGAAGTTTCCCCACCCCCAGGCAGGCCACCTGCTGACATAGTACCTGAAACCCTGCTGCTGAGGCCTCTCAGGCTCTCTTTGCCCTATGGTCTCCAGGTCCCATACTCTGGGGATGGGAAGGCACCCAGTCTGTGAGTCTGTGTCTGAGGAAACAATATATGAAAGAGCTCACACCTTGTTTAACTTTCTCCTTTTTTTAATGTTGATCTTAAAAGGTCATTGCGGAGCTTAAAATACCATGAGCCTGTGATGTATCCCAGAGGGTGACCAGAAGAATGAGCAGAACTGGGATGGGTGAACCCAGCAGCAAGGCTTGATCCAGTCTGGGAGTCAGGGAGGGCTTCCTGGAAAAGGAAGCATCACAGCCAAGAAGGGGTCGAACCAAGTGAAGGGAACGAGTATTCCAGGCAAATGGAATAGAACATACAAAGCCCCAGAACTGAGAAGAGCCTGGAATGTTCCCAGGCATAGATTTAACTGAATCTCCCCACCCTCTGAGTGACCCCAATGGCTTCGCTCAGGATAAAGTCCAAATTCTTCTGTCAGCAGCTGTCTATTCAGTAATCATTTCTTCAATCATCCAAAAAACCACTTCCACCAGCAGAATGCGAAGAGGTGTCAAGTAGAATGAGACAGTGGGAATTGGGTGGAGGTATTCAAGAAATAACTGTACCTTGCAACAACAATGGAGTTGGGGTGCAGACCGCAGCCCCTCTCTGAAGTAAAAAACTTGCATATAAATCTTGAATACCCCAAAACTTAACACAGTCCCTTGGTAATTGTGGGGGATTGGTTTCAGCTCTCCCCCCATACCAAAACACAGGGGATACTCAACCCCCCGCAGATCTTCTCTATCGGCGGTTCAGCAAACTGACATCGGAGGGTGGTTAAATCCGTAAATGTGAACCTGAACCCTCGGAGAGAAAAAGACCCTCGTAGAATGGAAAGGAGAATTCAAAACCGTGTTTTCTAGGGTCAGCTGCATTGCAAGGAGGAAAGGGCACGGAGAACAGATGTGGGATAGGGCCCAGTTTCATCTGCTGGGGGGAGAGAAACAACTGTAGCAGCTGGTGTCAATGCTTTGACATCTCTTCCAGAGTTGAAAGCAACTTCTACAGCAAGGACATTTATGGGCTGGCAGAATCTGTCTCATTGTCCTGCTCGGTGACTGAAGTGGGGGGCAAGTCACACCTTTCCCAGCCTCACTTTCTTTAGCTGTGAAAAGGGGATAGTGGTACCATTTGCTTCAGATATTGTGGAGGGTTGAAGCAAGTTCATGTAGCTATAAAGTGTGAAGAAAAGTTTCTGCTTATTTGAATTTTTGTTTTAAGATTTATTTATTGAGGGGCCTCCCTGGTGGTGCAGGAGGTTGAGCACTGCACTATAAAGCAATCCGCAGCCCCTGCAGCATGAGTTCAATCCCTGGCTGGCCAGGGAGCAAACCACATGGCGCGGCAGACCACTCCTGTCTTGTCCGCTGCTCCCCACAGCAGTGCACTTAGGTCAATGTGCCTGTTCTGTTTCCCTCTCTGTCTCTGGTGACTCCTCCACCCCCCGCATCTCTCTGGCCTGTACCCCGGCTCTTGTATGCATAAATAAATACATCTTAAAAAAAAACATTTATTCATACAAGAACCGGGGAACAGGCCAGATGTGCGGAAGGGTGAAAGGATTCTCCAGAGACAGAGTGGGGGACAGAACAGGCAGACTGACGAAATACACTGCTGAAGGGGAGCAGCAGGCAAGACAGGAGAGGTCTGCCACGCCATGTGGGATTCTCACCGGCCCGCTGGGATGGAACCCGCACTGAAGAGGCTGCAGACATCTTCACAGTGCGGCCCTGAACCGGCTGCGCCACCAGGGAGGCTCTTATTTGAAATTTTTTTGTAATAAACTATGGAGGGGGGGAATATTTGGCAGAAAGCACTTGTGAAAACTTCAGCCCAGTCATTAAACTGAATTATGATTTTTAATAGATGGATTGCAAATTGTGTACTTAGGAGGAAGAGGGTGACAATGTTAGCATAACGGCCTTTAATGAACAAATGTGGTTCTCGGAACTGGGAACAGTCCTTTATAAATTATGAACATTAATAAATACATCATTTCCTTTCAAACACTTCTGGTGAAGGATGAACTTTAATCATCTACATTTTTTACAGTGAGCAGTTGAAGTTCCCAGAGGCGACCCAAGACCGAAATTAGGACGGAGGAACTGACCTGCAAATGAGTCACCCGGGGGTTACCCGCACTTGCAGAAGACCCTCGCTTTGGCTTAACGGCCCCAACCCACAGCCCAAATTTTTGGGCAGGAAGAACGTGTTACAGATGCCCCGCCACCTCCAGCCCCACCTACACCCGGGTCCCGCCCGGGAGTGGCCTTTGTTTTTCCGCCTTCTAGGGGTGTTTGCTCCCGGGGCCTCGCCCCACCCCTTGCTAGGCGGGCTCTGTGCGCGCGCGCGGCAACCCCCCCCCAAGCCACACCTCCGCCCTTAAGCCCGGTGCTTCCGCTAGGCGGGCGCAGAGCCACGCGGCGCGCCGGGGAGCTCCCCTCGAGGCTGAGAGCCGGTCCTTCCACCACCCTGGGCCGCCGCCCTCCGCACCAGGGGCCCGAATTGCCGCTCCTGGACCCAAGAGCCTGATCCCCCCTCCTCCGGGACCTCCTGCTTCCCGGCTCCCCAGACTCAAGCTCCCAGCCCTCCTGTCTCAGGACCCAGGCACCCTGACTCCCCGCCGCCAGGATCTGCGCCATCAGAACCTAGGCACGTGAAGACCTGCGTGGTGTGGGCGCCCTCCGCCTTCCGGACCCCAAGTTCCATCCAGAGAAACTCCTATATTCCCGATCCCCAGAGCCAAGAAACCGCTTCTCCAGCTGCCAGCTTTGGAGCGCCCGGCCACAGCTGGAAGAGGGAGTTGCCCCAGTGCCCAGCCTGAGGATCTCCGACACCCCGTCTTGCCCGCGCCGGGAAGCGAGGCGCGGTGATTCAAAACTCCAAGGAACTCTTCGAAGTTCCAGCCTCCAGGCTCTGGGCTCAGCTCTCACTTCTAAGGAAAGTCGCGGGAAGGAGCCCCAGGCGTCTCCAGATTCCAGGCACTAAGGAACCCCGGGGTTTCATCATGGTGGCCGATGTCCCTAAGCAGGACCTCAAGGGGTTCGCAGCGGCGGAGCCCACCGCGAACGGTGTTCCAGTGCTGGTCCCTGCGGAGGACCCAAGCGCGCCAGGAGGCGGCTGCTGCCGTTCCCGGGACCAGGTGCGCCGCTGCCTTCGGGCCAACCTGCTGGTGCTGCTGACGGTGGTGGCCGTGGTGGCGGGCGTGGCGCTGGGGCTGGGGGTGTCTGCGGCCGGCGGCGCGCAAGCGCTGGGCCCCGCGCGCCTGGCGGCCTTCGCCTTCCCGGGCGAGCTGCTGCTGCGCCTGCTGAAGATGATCATCCTGCCGCTGGTGATGTGCAGCCTGATTGGCGGCGCGGCCAGCCTGGACCCGAGCGCGCTCGGCCGCCTGGGCGCCTGGGCGCTGCTGTTCTTCCTGGTCACCACTCTGATGGCCTCGGGGCTCGGCGTGGGCTTGGCACTGCTTCTGCAGCCAGGCGCCGCCTTCAATGAATCGATGGGGGCCAAAGGCACTGAGGGAGAGGCCCACACCAAAGAGGTGCTCGATTCGTTCCTAGATCTAGTGAGGTAAGACTCCGCCCACTGGTGGGGCATGGGAAGGGACTGCTTTGGCCACATGGACTAGAGGAGGCTCTGGGTCCCCAGAGCCGGGACATCTCTAGGACCTTAGGAAAAGAAAACAGGGTGCTGGGGGCGGGGGGAGCTCTGGCCCCTTCAGGGTTGGGGTGTGGCATGTGAGAACACTTGGCTGGGGGAAGAGGCATCTAAACGTGTGGCCTGTGCCCCTAAGGGAACCCACACGTGGGTGATAGGTGAGAAGGTCTTTGAGGTAGGAGACAGTGCGGCTTCAGTGGGCGGGTGTGGGTTGAGGGGCCTACGAGGGTCTCCTGAATGGGAGAGGACCCTGATGAGGTCTCCTTGGAAGGGGAGCTTTGGGTGCCAAGGGGCCCAGATGGGGCTTCTGGATAAAGAGTGGAGTCAAGGAACGGGGATTGGGACCCCTGAGTTCGGACATGAGGTGATTCTAGTGACCCCCACATGACCCTCTTCCCAGTTCCAGGGCTCCCACATCCCCGTCACTTGTGGAGCGGACTTGGCCAGTTTTTTTCTCAGGTTGCCTTCACCCAGTTGAGCTGGCCCCTGGGGCTTCCTCTTCACACACGTTCCTGCCATCTCTGACTCCACATCCCCTTTCCTCGCTCTCCCCCCATTATGCTGTCCTGAGGGAGCTGGTTAGAAAGGGCCCCAAATTCTTTTCCTCCTTCTGGCTTCTCCCCCCACCCCCACCATACCCCTGCCCCAGCTAATGGTGTGGATCCACTTGACCTTGCCTTAGTGCCTCTGCTGATTAGTGCCTCAGGTTCCTGGAAGTGGTGTGTGGGGTGGCAGGGTGAGTCACAGAATCGGGGCATTACACTGGAGCACTCCTGGTGTCCAGGAGGTGCAGTGGGTGGGCACCTTCTGGCTGCGGGAGATTAGCTGGGTCCCAGCCCAACCCTGTCTGGCCTGGGTGGGACCATCCGGCCTGCGGACAGGCACACCAGCTGAAAGCTGCCTCTGAGTACCAGCTCCCCACCCTCCCACACCCTGCACAGTGAAAATAGCTGAAGCTTGTGCTTGGTCAGCCCCTTGGAGCCACACGACTTCATGACCAACTGATACACAGCTGGAAACAGGCACATAGACACCCAGCCTGCAGCAGCTCACCAGACATGGCCTTACACCAGTTGTCACACACACATACACACACGCACTGATACTGACAACCCCTTAGCACCAACAGCTGCTCACGGGATGAGCCCAGCATTTGAGCACCCACATACTCAGTTCACTCTGACCCCTCCTAGTCCACACCAGCAGTGTCCCACATATCTGAATACTCCGCCCTACATCAGCACCCTGAAAACAAACCACCTCACTGGTGACGGAGGAAGAAGCTCAGCGGTTAGGACCAGGCAACCAGCTGACTTGGGTTCCAATCCCTGCTTGGTGCCTCATTTTCCTGTTCTGTGAAGTAAGGACCATGGTGTGGGTCCCTGAGGGCTGTGGGGGATTAAGTGAGTTGATGTGTGTGGCGCCCTGGCTGCACTACCTGTGGCTTCATTTTTGGTATTTCTGTCTCCCGGAGACTGCGTGAGGCCAATGTCTGACTCCCTCAGTCGCTCTGTGGGATTTAGTGAGTCACTCGGACACCTTCACAGGAGAGTGGCTGTGTCAACACAGATGCATATGTGTGGCATGCAGTCATCTTACCACCCTCTGGCTTCCCCGAACCCTCTGACCCACCAGCCAGCCCCCAGACTCCAGCCCTCCTGGAGGTGGCTGATGCAAGATGCCCAGGGTATTTAGTTTGCTGTAGGGGGTGGAGCTGAGGCCCCAAGTGACCCTGCCCCTTCCTGCCTGGGAAGCCAGCATTCCCCACCCCCATCCTCAGTCCCTCAGGGCTGCAACAGCAGCCATCTGGGGGCCCAGGAGGCCAGCTCAGACGCCCCACACCCTAAAAATAAGTGCAGGCCAGATCAACTCTGCCTGATCGAACCTGTCACAGCCCTGGGTGCCAGCATGTTGGGGTGCCCACGAGGCCTCCAAGGTTCCCCCGTACCCAAGAGACCAACGGAACCTCCCACACCCCCTGACCTCCCCGCTGGTGTCTAACAACCCCTCCTATGTCTGTCTCTGCAGAAATATCTTCCCTTCCAACCTGGTGTCTGCAGCCTTCCGCTCAGTGAGTCCTCTGGTGTCCCGGGGGGTGGACCGGGAGGGAGACCGTGAATTGCCGGCCTCAGCACCTCATTTTGGAAGGTGTCTGGGAAAAACTCATGCCCTCATGTTTACAGGCATATTTATCTTGCAGAGTTCCTGGGTGTCCCTGGAAGCTAATTTATACCCTTTCTCCACAAACATGATTATGGGTTCCAACCACCTTCTGGGTTCCCATTCTAGCTGTGTGACCCTGGCTGGTGCCTTTACCTCTCTGAGCCTTGCTTTCTGCCTCTGGAAAGTGGGGGCATGAGGACTCCTACCTCGGTGGGGTTGCCAGCCAGATGGAATGAGATTTAAGGGGTACCTAGGACAGACTCTAAGCTTTTTTGGTTCCAGTACCGGGTGGGGGGATCTTCAGTGAAATGGACCCTAATTCGCCCCAATTCTCCCTGCAGTATTCCACCTCCTATGGAGAGAAAGAGATCGATGGAGCATGGGTGAAGGTGAGAGCTGGGGAAGGGCTGTAGTGGCCTCACCCCCACTTTGTGTTTTTTTGATTTGTTCTCCCCAGTCCCCCAGATTTGTCTCCCTTCTATTTTCCAATAACTGGTGTGGAATTATTGATTTAAACTCTCTGCAGCCCCGCAGTCTCTGCCTTTCTGGACATCTCTGTTCTGCCTCCTCTTGTCCCTCCCCACAACCCCACTTTGGCCACGTTCTTTTTCCCTTTCCCCTGCCCCATCTTGACCTGGCCTCCTCCTGGCTCTGCCCATTCCCTCCTGCCCAAGCTCTGCCATGCGCCCTAGTTCCCTCCCAAGAAATCCCAGCTCTTCACCCCGGCCCACGGGGCCCTGCCCCGCCTCATCTTGTGATTTTGCCTCACTCATTTCTTGTAGCCATAGTAGATTTCTTTCTGTTCTTTCATATGCTCAAGTTGCTCTCATTTCTAGGCCATTGGATGTTTTCACGATGTAGAACCTTCTGCTGCCCCTCTTTATCTGGTTCACCCTTCCTGTTCTTTCTGTTCTGCTCTTTGGAATCAGCCCCTTCCTCCAGGAAACCCTCCTTGACCCTTCCCCAGCCTCCCAAAGCTAGAATACCCACCTAATTTCCATAGTACTCTGTGGTTCCCACGTTCCAGCCTTGTTCAGTGGGAGGATCTCTGGTCACAAGCATATTTCTCCTGGACCTGTATTGTGAGCCTTGGGAGGAAGAGATAAGGAGGTGTCTTATCTCTGCTGGGTCCCACCAGTGCCCAGGATAGGCCCTCAGTGACTATGCAGGTTGACAGGTGCCTCCCTCTTCCCTTCCCCATCTGTTTCCTGCTCAAAGGTGCCTGTGGGAGAAGAGGTGGAGGGCATGAACATCCTGGGCCTGGTAGTGTTTGCCATCGTCTTTGGCGTGGCCCTGCGGAAGCTGGGGCCTGAGGGCGAACTGCTCATACGCTTCTTCAATTCCTTCAATGATGCCACCATGGTGCTGGTCTCCTGGATCATGTGGTGAGTGGAGATTGGGGGAAAGGCAGTGGGGGTATGAGATAGGGTCACCCTCCTTCTGCTTTATCCTCTCGAATGAGTTGCTCATCTGTAAGATGAGGGCAGTGTTGTATCTGTGAGCACTCAGCCCGATGCTTGCACCTTCTGATCTTACTGAAAGATAGTAAAAGCCACGGCCACAGTGTGCTCACTTTTAGAGATCTAAATGTAACCAGATGTTTGCCTTTGGCTCGGGTCTGAAAAAATAGTGCCCACTTTAGTGGGTGAGCGTGAAGAGAAAAGCACTTAGAAGGTGTTCTAATTGCCTGGCACCTACTGGGCATTCCCTAAACATGAGCCTCGGTTATGATCATTCAGAGTTTTACTAAATGACCCCAGATAATGAGAAGAAAATGTGCAGAGGACTCTGCCTTCCATTCATGCTCCTGCCCCAGTCCCCTCTCCTCCTAGCTGCACCCCGATTCTCAGGACCCTGCCTGCATCTCAGCCCTCCACCCCAGGCCCTCATTCCAAGGCAGCTGAGGTCAGAAGCTGCTGTGTCTTGACTGCGGGAGAGATGGGATGGTGGGCGGGTAAGAGCGGGCTCTGCAGCTGGGTGGCCTGAGGTGCCTTCCCGGCTGGGCAACGAGTTACTTAGCCCCTCTGTGCCTCGGTCTCTTCATCTGGAAAACGGGCTTGATAGCACTGGGCACAAATGAATTAATACAGGTAAAGTTCTTGGGATGGAGCCTGACCTATTACATGCCTATAGTAAACAATAACAGCTAATATTTATCCAGTCCTTAGCTTTTATGACTTCTGGCACATCTCACCTGCCAGTACTTTGGCACTGGCCCAAGCTGAGCTGCAGAGGGGGCTGGGAAGTGGTGCCTTCTTCTGTTACCCAAGGAGAGAAGGGGTTCAGGAGACAAGTAACCGTCTAGATCAAGCGTCAGGGAAGCCTTCCTGGGAGGGGAGCAGCAGGCCCCCCCCCAGATCTGTACTCCTGGAGAGGCTACTAATAAACCCACAAGTTTATAGATCACTTACTGTGTACAGAAAGCTTTCAACTCCTTTCAGCTGGTGTCTCACTTCAGCCCCCAGCGTTCCTCTCGGGGTGGTGGCATCCTCACCCCTGTTTTACAGGCTGATTCGATTTTGTTTGGTTCAGCGTCAGCTGCGGGAGACCCTGGTTGGCGCCCCTGCCTGGGCTCGGGTGAAGATTCGGTGGCATTCAAGGGCTCTGCACACCCTGCATCCTTCACACCTGGGAGTTGTCATAAATACACGAGCAGGGCCTTTTCCCCTCTAGGAAGTGGCGACAGAGCGTTTGCTTTAAGCCATAGTAGCTGCTCTAACAAGCCCCTTGACGTAAATGACCGCAGCCTGCACAGCTCTCCTCTTTCATGGGTCAAGTTGGTATCTGAACACAGGCATTCAGAGAGCTGATGGAGGCTGCCAGGCTCCGTGGGCCTCCCGGCTGCCCGACCTTCCAGGGCAGAGTGTGGTGGGCAGGGTAGAGGAGGTGCTTGAAGGTGGTCGTCTCCTGAGGCTGGGGCAGCTGGATGGGGCACTCCCATGTGAAGTGTCTGCGCCCAGCCCAGGAGCGCGTGGTCAGAGGCTGGTCTGTCTCCTGTGTCGTTAGGTATGCCCCTGTGGGTATCATGTTCCTGGTGGCCAGCAATATTGTGGAGATGGAAGACGTGGGGAAGCTCTTCGCCAGCCTCGGCAAATACATCCTGTGCTGCCTGCTGGGCCACGCCATCCACGGGCTCCTGGTGCTGCCCCTCATCTACTTCTTGTTCACCCGCAAAAACCCCTACCGCTTCCTGTGGGGCATCACAACGGCGCTGGCCACGGCCTTCGGGACCTCCTCCAGGTGAGCCTTGGGGCCGGCTGCGGTGGTGTGTAGAGGTCGCAACGCCCCTGAGATGTTTGGGGACGCCGGATGGGGCACAGCGCCATACCTTTGTCAGCTCCTCCTAAGGTCCTAGATTCCCCTCCCTCTAAAATTTAGGCAAGCACTGCCTTAGACCTCCCCTCCCCTCCTGATGCCCTTTCCTCCCTGCCAGGCCTAGCCCTGGGGGGACTGTACTTCTCCATCCTGGATCCAATCTTATGAAACCCCTATCTTTCCTTCTGGGAAGGAAAGGGTCCTGCTCCCTCACAACCCCACCTTCGCAGCAGCATCCCCAAGAACTTAGTAATTCTTGGCCAAGTTCTGTTGTTGGAGATGTGGGGCGTGGGCTATCAGAGAGCTCTCTAACATAGAATTAGGTAGAATTTTCCCGTGTATTTTGAGGAGTAGCAGTCAGTTGCTCCCCAGGGCGTCAGGGATTTTGCCTTCTGGAATGCCTGCATTCTGGGGGCTCCCTCCTGCCTCTAGGCTCCAGAAAGGGAAGGACATGGAGAGCTAGAGAGGGCTGGGCTCCTGGGAGGGAGGCTGGGGGTGAGGGTCTAGGCCGGTAGACGGGGCCTGTGCCAGGGACAGGGGCTGGTCCTGTGGTCTGGGGAGGAGGTGGGCGGGGCTAGGCTGCAGGGCAGAGGTCAGGTCTGAAATACAGGCTGTGATCCAGGGAGGGGATGGGGTCCGGGCCGACCAGGTGTTATGGGTGTGGCTTGAGAGCTAGCGGGACTTAGACCAGGTATGGTGGTCTGTGTGGTGAGCCAGGTCTAAGGGATGGGGAGACGGCAGGTGGTCTAGGCAGGGTGGGGTGCTGTGGGCGGGGCTTGTGTGGTGGGCGGGGCCGCAGGGCCTGGAAGTGCTTGAGCGCTGAGCTGCGTGGCCCCTTGCAGCTCCGCCACGCTGCCGCTGATGATGAAGTGCGTGGAGGAGAGGAACCGTGTCACCAAGCACATCAGCCGCTTCATCCTCCCCATCGGCGCCACGGTCAACATGGACGGCGCGGCGCTCTTCCAGTGCGTGGCCGCGGTGTTCATCGCTCAGCTCAATCAGCGGTCCCTGAACTTCGTGAATATCATCACTATCCTGTGAGTGTGGGCTGGGCGCCTGACCATCCCCTGGAACAGACGCAGGTCAAGGAGAAGGGCTCTCTGGCAGCCTCTCCTGACTGCCCCTCTATACCCCCAGGGTCACGGCCACAGCGTCCAGCGTGGGCGCTGCAGGCATCCCGGCTGGAGGTGTCCTCACCTTGGCCATCATCCTGGAGGCGGTCAACCTGCCGGTTCACTACATCTCCTTGATCCTGGCTGTGGACTGGCTGGTGTAAGTGTGGGTTGACCTCAGGGGGTTCAGAGGTACCCCAGGGAAGGGGGTGAGCTAGAGCCTGTGTGGCTGTGTGTGTGTGTATTTTTTATTCATCCACTTTCGTTAAAAAAAATTATTTTTTTAAAGATTTATACTTGCATACAAGTGCTTGGGTACAGGCCAGAGGTATGGGGTTGAGAGGATTCACCAGAGGGCAGAGTGGGGAACAGGACAGGCAGACTGACCGAAGTACACTGCTGAGGGGAGCAGTGGGCGTGTCAGGAGAGGTCTACTGTGCCATGTGGGCGGCTCCATGGCTGGCTAGGGGATCGAACTCATGCTGCAGAGGCTGCGGACTGCTTCGTAGGTTTCTTCTTAACCGCGCCACCAGGGAGGCCCTGCTAAAAAAACCATCCTTTTTTTTTTTAAAGATTTATTTATTTTTATACAAGAGCTGGGGGATAGCCAGAGGCGCAAGAGGGTGAGCAGATTCAGCAGAGACAGAAGAGGGAGCAGAACAGGCAGATGACAGAAATACACTGCAGAGGGGAGCAGCAGGTGCGGCAGGAGAGGTCTGCTGCACCGTGTGGGAATCTCCCTGGCCGGCTGGGAATCAAACCAGCACTGCAGGGGCTGAGGATAGCTTCACAGTGCAGCGCTCAAGCCAGTGTGCCCTCGGGGAGGCCCTAAAATTTTTTTTAAAGTAACTTTGTAATATAACTTAAGTTTCAGGTGTGCATCGTTGAGAACTAATAAGCTTATACTATATTGAAGAGATAATCCTATATCCTTAGGATTCTGGGGAGAACCTTGACATACCCGGAATGCCCTGAGCTAGGGCTTAGTATGGTCTGAGGGAGAAGAGTTAGGTCTTCTGGGCTCCCAAGAGGAGGGAGGGAGGGCTTAGAGGCTCCAGAAGGAACCTGTCTTGTGTTTTGCGGGGATAAAGAACCACTTGGGGTCCAGGGAAGATGGAGGGGGAGTTCTCTGAGATTTTCTAGGCAGAGAAAATATGGGAACCAGAGCAAAGAAGAGGGGTTATGAGATTTCTGGGGTTTGAGTTGAAGCAAGATCTTCGAAGGTCTAAGAGGAAGGGTTATTTGAGCTTCTGGGAGGATGAAGGGATGAACTGGGTCTAGAAATAGAACAGGGGAAGGAAATGGATGGAAGTGGAGGAATGATGGTGTGGAGATGGGTGTGATGGGTGTGTCAAGATTCCAGAGGGAGAGGACAGAGGGGCCCCCAGACCCCACTCATTCACCTCCCTGTCATGCCTACCCCTTCAGGGACCGATCCTGTACCGTCCTCAACGTGGAAGGTGACGCCTTTGGGGCGGGGCTCCTCCAGAATTATGTGGACCGTTCGGGGTCTCAGAGCTCGGTGCCTGAGTTGATCCAGGTGAAGAGCGAGCTGCCCCAGGCCCCGCTGCCAGTCTCCACTGAGGAGGGGAATCCCCTCCTCAAACGCTGTCCTGGATCTGCTGGGGATGCTGACCCCTGTGAGAAGGAATCAGTCATGTAAACTCTAGTGGGGACCTTCCCCGACCCAGCGGGGACACTTTGTACATCAGGATGGTGAGAGATGGATGAAAGGACAAATGGAACTCTTTGGTCACTGCCCCCACATCTGGGGAACCAGAGGCCCCCGGCTCCCTCCCCAAAATCAGATCGGGAAGGTCTCGCTGCTGGGAGATATATGTGGACCTGTGTGTGCAAGTGTGTCTCCCCAAACCTCCCCGGTCCTCAGCTGCTGTCCCCAACCACAATTAGGAAACAGCACCTCTGGGAGCCAGCCTGGGCCCCCCATCTTGGACACAGTCTCAAGTCATCTTTTGAGATTGTTGCTTCTTTGAGAGGTCTGCTCTCCGTGTGTGGTGCTGGCTCCTTTGCTCGTCACTTTGGTGGTTGTTGTCTCCGTGTGTGTGTGGGTTGTGGGACTCTCCATGGTTCACCCTGTACTGGCCCCAGGCCCCCTCTGTTCCCTCCATAGATCAGGGGAACACTCCTGGGAACTATGAGGGGAGGAGGGGCAATAGGGCAAATTGCGCTGTCACTCCAGGAGACTTTTTGTAGCAATGACACAACTAAGTTATCTAATCAGACTTTTGTAAGAATTTGACTAAAAACACTAGCCACACAGGGAAAAATAAAGAAGCATGACAAATTGGACTTTTTTTTTTTTTTTTTAAGATTTATTTATTTATGCAAGAGCTGGGGTACAGGCCAGAGATGCATGGGGTGAGAGGATTCACCAGACAAAGAGTAGGGAACAGAACAGGGAGATTGACGAGAGTACACTGCTGAGGGGAATGGCGGGCGAGTCAGGAGAGGTCTGCTGCGCCATGTGGGTTGCTCCCTGGCTGGCCAGGGATCGAACTCAAGCTACAGAGGCTGCGGATTGCTTCATAGTGCGGTGATTAACCCCTTGTGCCACCAGGAAGGCCCCAAATTGGACTTTTTTTTTTTTTAAGATTAATTTATTTATATAAGCACTGGGAACAGTCAGAAGTGGGAGGGTAAGAGAATTCACCAGAGCCAGAGCGGGGAGCAGAGCAGGCAGAAGGGCCGAAGTACACTGCTGAGGGGAGCAGCGGGCGGCAGGAGAGGTCTGCGCGCCATGTGGGACCCTCCTCCGGGGGCCAGGAGCAGCCGGGGATCGAAACGGTGCTGCAGAGGCTGCGGGCAGCTTCACAACCCGGTGCTCAACCACTGTGCCACCGGGGAGGCCCACCAAATTGGACTTTCTTGAAATAAAATACCTGTTCATTGAAAGGCATCACTGAGACACCACTGCCCGTCCCTACTAGAATGGCAACAAGCAAAGACCATCCATACTTGGGGTCAGTGAGCTCTTAGACATTATACAATTTAGGTATGAATTTTTTAAAGATTTATTTATGCTTACAAGAACTGGGGTACAGGCAAGAGGTGTGGGGGTTGAGAAGATTCACTAGAGACAGTGGGGAGCAAACCAGGCAGATTGACTGAATTACACTGCTGAGGGGAACAGTGGGGAGACAGGGAAGTATGCTGCGCCATTTGGGTCCACCTCCCTGCTACAGATAGTGCTGAGACTTAAGCCCTTGGGCCACCAGAGATGTCCCTAGAACGTGCGTTTCATTGGCAGCATGAGATGGTGTGGACAGGTGTGCACAGATATGAAGAGGAAAATGTCAGAAAATAATAATTATGTTTACAATGAAATCTGATGGTTCATTTTTTTAAAAGATTTATTTATTTATACAAGAACCGGGGTACAGGCCAGATGTGCGGGAGGGTGAGAGGATTCACCAGAGACAGAGTGGGGTCAGAACAGGCAAACTGGGGGCCTCCCCGGTGGCGCAGCAGTTGAGCGCTGGGTTGTGAAGCTGCCAGCAGCCTCTGCAGCGCCGGTTCGATCCCCGGCTGCTCCTCAGCCACCGGAGGAGGGTCCCACATGGCGCGCAGACCTCTCCTGCCGCCCGCTGCTCCCCTCAGCAGTGTACTTCGGTCCTTCTGCCTGCTCTGCTCCCCGCTCTGGCTCTGGTGAATTCTCTCACCCTCCCACGCTTCTGACTGTACCCAGTGCATGTATAAACAAAAACAAACAAATGAATAAATAAATAAATAAAACATGCCTCTATTTAAAAAAAAAAAAAAAAGAACAGGCAAACTGATAAAATAAACTGCTGAGGGGGGAGCAGTGGGCATGACAGGAGAGGTCTGCCCCGCCATGTGGGACCCTTGCCGGCCAGGGCTCATATTTTTTTTAACCAACTGCTTGAGATTTGCCAACTGATTTTACGCCCTATGACTGGGTTGCCAAGTGAGGTTTGAAAATGCAGGTGACTGATAGGTGTTCAGAACCAGGACACCACTCAAGTGGAATTCTAGAAAGAGCAAGTGTTTGTCGATAGTCCTTTTGTCCTCTCCATGGGGTTTGTTAGGATTGGACTTCTGTCCCTTTTGAGTTTGTTTGGAACCAGGGAGCAGCAGGACTACTGAAATGTGCTAAATAAATGATTTTGACAGTCTTTTCATTAGCTACCTGAGCTTCCTCCTACCCACACTCAAGTCTCATTTCTCAGCAATTTTCCCTTTGGATTTTCTACCCAACTACATGGTACTGGTCTCGGTTTCAGAAATTACTCCCCTCCCGGTCTTTGCCCTGACTATATATTCAGCCTGTACCCTTTTCGTCCCCCCTCACTAATCAGTTCTGCCATTCATCAATATTCAGCTCATAAAACCTAGGTAATGTCATGAACCAATGTTACTTCAATGTAAAATTGAAGTTAATTCATCTCAGGTGCCTCCTCCTCCAGGATGACCTCTCTGACTGCACTCCCCAGCCTGGGTTTCTGCTGTGGGTTTTCCCCTCAGTGCCCTGCTCCCTCTGCGTTGTCACAGTCAGTCTCCCCTGTAAGATTGAGACCAGGAGGAGAAGTCTGCCTCAGTGATAGCTGGGCCCCCAGGACTAGTCCGTTCAGAGCTGGGCACACAGTAGGTGCTCAGAAGAAAAGGTCCTTGAATGCATGAAATGGACTCTGAGCGAGCAGGAAAGGCTGTGTTCTCTGAGAGCTTAGATCCCAGGTCTGTTGGCCTTTACTCAGCCCCTCTGCTGACAGACACCAGCTCCTCTCAGGGACTGCATTCAGAACTATGGCAACTGAGGCCAGAGCCCCCACAGCTCAGCCCAGTCTCCCCTGGCCCCACTCACTTCCTTCTAGGAGCCCCAGAACTTTGTTACTATTATTTTATTATTATTATTATTATTATTATTATTATTATTTTGCTAATGACGACATCTGAATCTGGATAGATTTGGCTGAGCCAGAGGAAAACAGACTGTAACTGGCTGTTGGTCTCTTTTCCCCTCCAGGCCTGAGGCTGGCAGGGGGTGGGACACTCTTGGCCAGTCCTGAGGCCAAACCCTCAAACCTCTTGGCTTGGACTCACCCCACGCTTTTGGAAGGTTCTGGGATTCTGGGGCTGCCTGAGTCCTGGAGCCTCCTCCCTCCATCCAGACTCCTTGTCTGACACCCCTAGGCTTGGAATGGGGAGGGAGGGCAATGACCAGACTAAGCTTGGTCTATGCCCACTCAGTCCAAATAGCCTGGGGCACTTTTCCACTGGGGGAGGGGGCTGCTCACCAGAGGGTAAGAAGTTTCCCCACCCCCAGGCAGGCCACCTGCTGACATAGTACCTGAAACCCTGCTGCTGAGGCCTCTCAGGCTCTCTTTGCCCTATGGTACCCAGGTCCCATACCCAGCAGGTGGGAAGGCACTCAGTTTGTGAGTCTGTGCCTGAGAGAACAATCTGTGAAAGAACTACCTCCTTGTTGAACTTTCTTCTTATTTATAATGTTGATCTTAAAAGGTCATCGGAGCTTAAAATACCATGAGCCTGTGATGTATCCCAGAGGGTGACCAGAAGAATGAGCAGAACTGGGATGGGTGAACCCAGCAGCAAGGCTTGATCCAGTCTGGGAGTCAGGGAGGGCTTCCTGGAAAAGGAGGCATCACCGCCAAGAAGGGGTTGGACCAAGTCTAGGGAACAAGTATTCCAGGCAAATGGAATAGAATACACAAAGCCCAGAACTGAGAAGAGCCTGGAATGTTCCCAGGCATAGATTTAACTGAATCTCCCCACCCTCTGAGTGACCCCAATGGCTTCGCTCAGGATAAAGTCCAAACTCTTCTGTCAGCAGCTGTCTATTCAGTAATCATTTCTTCAGTCATTCAAAAAACCACTTCCACCAGCGGACTGCAGAGAGGTGTCAAGTAGAACCAGACAGTAGGAATTGGATGGACATGTTCGAGAAATACAGTGTACCTTGCAACAACAATGGAGTTGGGGTGCAGACCGCAGCCCCTCTCTGAAGTCAAAAACTTGCATATAAATCTTGAATACCCCAAAACTTACCGCAGTCCCTTGGTAGTTGTGGGGGATTGGTTTCAGCTCTCCCCCCATACCAAAACACAGGGGATACTCAACCCCCCGCAGATCTCCTCTGTCGGCGGTTCAGCAAACTGACATCGGAGGGTGGTTAAATCCGTAAATGTGAACCTGAACCCTCGGAGAGAAAAAGACCCTCGTAGAATGGAAAGGAGAATTCAAAACCGTGTTTTCTAGGGTCAGCTGCATTGCAAGGAGGAAAGGGCACGGAGAACAGATGTGGGATAGGGCCCAGTTTCATCTGCTGGGGGGAGAGAAACAACTGTGTAGCAGCTGGTGTCAATGCTTTGACATCTCTTCCAGAGTTGAAAGGAACTTCTACAGCAAGGACATTTATGGGCTGGCAGAATCTGTCCCATTGTCCTGCTCGGTGACTGAAGTGGGGGGCAAGTCACACCTCTCCCAGCCTCACTTTCTTTAGCTGTGAAAAGGGGATAGTGGTACCATTTGCTTCAGATATTGTAGAGGGTTGAAGCAAGTTCATGTAACTATAAAGCATGAAGAAACGGGTTTCTGCTAATTTGAAAATTTTTGGTAATAAACTATGGAGGCGGGGAATATTTGGCAGAAAGCGCTTGTGAAAACTTCAGCCCAGTCATTAAACTGAATTATGATTTTTAATAGATGGATTGCAAATTGTGTACCTAGGAGGAAGAGGGTGACAATGTTAGCAAAACAGTCTTTAACAAATGTGGTTCTCGGAACTGGGAACAGTCATTTACAAATTATGAACATTAATAAATACATCATTTCCTTTCATTTTACTCTCAAACCCATCCGGTGAAGGATGAACTTTTATCATCTTCATTTTTCACAGTGAGCAATTCAAGTTCCCAGAGGCGACCCAAGACCGAAATTAGGACGAAAGAACTGACCTGCAAATGAGTCACCGGGGGTTACCCGCACTTTCATGAGAACCTCGCTTTGGCTTAACGGCCCCAACCCGCAGCCCAAATTTTTGGGCGGGAAAAACATCCTCCTTACCTCCCGCCACATCCACCCCCGCGCACACGCAGGCCTGGGTCCGGAGTGTCTATTGTTTTTCCGCCTTTTAGGGGTGGTTGCACCCGGGGCCTCGGCCCTGCCCCTCGCTAGGCGGGCTCTGTGCGCGCGACACCCACCCCCGCCTTCCCAGCCACGCCTCCGCCCTTAAGCCCGGTGCTTCCGCTAGGCGGGCGCAGAGCCTCGCGGCGCGCGGGGGAGCTCCCCTCGAGGCTGAGAGCCGGTGCTTAGAGCATCCTGGGCCGCCGCCCTCCGCACCAGGGGCCCGAATTTCCCCTCCCGGACCCAAGAGCCTGAGCCCCCCTCCTCCGGGACCTCCGCTTCCCGGCTCCCCAGACTCAAGCTCCCAGCCCTCCTGTCTCAGGACCCAGGCACCCTGGATCCCCGCCGCCCGGATTTAGGCGACCCCGATCTGCGCCATCAGAACCTCGGCTCGTGAAGACCTGCGTGGTGTGGGCGCCCTCAGCCTTCCGGACCCCAAGTTCCATCCAGAGAAACTCCGGTATTCCCGATCCCCAGAGCCAAGAAACCGCTTCTCCAGCTGCCAGCTTTGGGGCAACCGGGCACAGCTGGAAGAGGGAGTTGCCCCAGCGCCCAGCCTGAGGATCTCCGACACCCCGTCTTGCCCGCGCCGGGAAGCGAGGCGCGGTGATTCAAAACTCCAAGGAACTCTTCGAAGTTCCAGCCTCCAGGCTCTGGGCTCAGCTCTCACTTCTAAGGAAAGTCGCGGGAAGGAGCCCCAGGCGTCTCCAGATTCCAGGCGCTAAGGAACCCCGGGGTTTCATCATGGTGGCCGATGTCCCTAAGCAGGACCTCAAGGGGTTCGCAGCTGCGGAGCCCACCGCGAACGGTGTTCCAGTGCTGGTCCCTGCGGAGGACCCAAGCGCGCCAGGAGGCGGCTGCTGCCGTTCCCGGGACCAGGAGCGCCGCTGCCCTCTGGCCAACCTGCTGGTGCTGCTGACGGTGGTGGCCGTGGTGGCGGGCGTGGCGCTGGGGCTGGGGGTGTTTGCGGCCGGCGGCGCGCAAGCGCTGGGCCCCGCGCGCCTGGCGGCCTTCGCCTTCCCGGGCGAGCTGCTGCTGCGCCTGCTGCTGCTCATCAGCCTGCCACTGGTGATGTGCAGGCTGATCGGCAGCGCGGCCAGCCTGGAGCCGAGCGCGCTCCGCCGCCTGGGCCCCTGGACGCTGCTGTTCTTCCTGGTCACCACTCTGCTGGCCTCGGGGCTCGGCGTGGGCTTGGCGATGGCTCTGCAGCCAGGCGCCGCCTTCAAAGAATTTTTGGGGCCCAGAGGCACTTGGAGAGACGCCCCCACCAAGGAGGTGCACCATTTGTTGCTGTACCTACTGAGGTGAGACCCCCTCCACTGGTGGGGCATGGGAAGGGACTGCTTCGGCCAATTGGACAAGAGGAGGTTCTGGGTCCCCAGAGCTGGGACATCCCTAGGACCTTAGGAAAAGAAAACGGGGTGCTGGGGGCGAGGGGAGCTCTGGCCCCTTCAGGGTTGGGGTGTGGCGTGTGAGAACACTTGGCTGGGGGAAGAGGTATCTAAATGTGTGGCCTGTGCCCCTAAGGGAACCCCACACGTGGGTGATAGGTGAGAAGGTCTTTGAGGTAGGAGACAGTGCGGCTTCTTCAGTGGGCGGGTGTGGGTTGAGGGACCTACGAGGGTCTCCTGAATGGGAGAGGACCCTGATGAGGTCTCCTTGGAAGGGGAGCTTTGGGTGCCAAGGGGCCCAGATGGGGCTTCTGGATAAAGAGTGGAGTCAAGGAACGGGGATTGGGACCCCTGAGTTCGGACGTGAGGTGATTCTAGTGACCCCCACATGACCCTCTTCCCAGTTCCAGGGCTCCCACATCCCCGTCACTTGTGGAGCGGACTTGGCCAGTTTTTTTCTCAGGTTGCCTTCCCACCCAGTTGAGCTGGCCCCTGGGGCTTCCTCTTCACACATTCCTGCCATCTCTGACTCCACATCCCACTTCCTTGCTCTCTCCTCATTATGCTGTCCTGAGGGAGCAGGTTAGAAAGGGGTCCAGAATCTTCTCCTCCTGGCTTCTGCCTCACACCTAGAACCCCCCATCCTATTCCCCCTCCCCCGCCCCTAAAGAGGGCAGCTGGTGAGACCACATGACTTTGCCTGGTGCCTCTGCTGTTTCAGTGCCTCAGGTTAGTTGGGACTTCCGGGAAGTGGTGTGTGGGGTGGCCACAGCTGGAAATAGGCACACAGACACCCAGCCTGCAGCAGCTCACCAGACATGGCCTTACACCAGTTGTCACACACACACAATGATACTGACACCCCCTTAGCACCAACAGCTGCTCAAAGGATGAGCCCAGCATTTGAGCACCCACACACTCATGTTCACCCTCGCCCCTACCTAGTCCACACCAGCCAAGTCCCACATATCTGAACACACCCCAGACACCAACACCCTGAAAACAACCCAGGTCTCTGGTGACAGGGAGGTTGTGAAGAAGCCTAGTGATTAGGAACAGGCATCCAGCTGGCTTGGGTTTAAATCCCAGCTTGGTGCCTCAGTTTCTTGTTCTGTGAAGTAAGGATCATGGTGTGGGTCCCTGAGGGCTGTGGGGGGATTGAAGTAAGTCGCACCCTGGCTGCAGTACCTGTGGCTTCATTTCTGGTATTTCTGTCTCCCAGAGACTGCATGAGGCCAATGTCTGACTCCCTCCGTGGCTCTGTGGGATTTAAGGAGTCACTCAGACACTGTCACACCAGAGTGGCTGTGTCAACACAGATGCATATGTGTGGCATGCAGTCATCTCTTACCACCCTCTGTCCTGCCTCGCTCAGCACACCCAGGTCTTCCCTGTACCCTCTGACCCACCAGCCAGCCCCCAGACTCCAGCCCTCCTGGAGGTGGCTGATGCAAGATGCCCAGGGTATTTAGTTTGCTGTAGGGGGTGGAGCTGAGGCCCCAAGTGACCCTGCCCCTTCCTGCCTGGGAAGCCAGCATTCCCCACCCCCATCCACAGTCCCTCAGGGCTGCAACAGCAGCCATCTGGGGGCCCAGGAGGCCAGCTCAGACGCCCCACACCCTAAAAACGTGTGCAGGCCAGATCAACTCTGCCTGATCCAACCTGTCAGAGCCCTGGGTGCTAGCCACGTGGCCTCCAAGATTCCCCCCCACCGAAGAGGCCAACGGAGCCTCCCACACCCCCTGACCTCCCCCTGTGGTGTCTAACAACCCCTCCTATGTCTGTCTCTGCAGAAATAACTTCCCTTCCAACCTGCTGCCTGCAGCCTTCTACTCAGTGAGTCCTATGGTGTCCCAGAGGGTGGGCAGGGAGGGAGACCGTGAGTTGCAGACTTCAGCACCTCAGTTTGGAAGGTGTCTGGGAAAAACGCATGCCCACATGTTTACAGGCACATTTATCTTGCAGAGTTCCTGGGTGTCCCTGGAAGCTAATTTACAGCCCTTCTCCACAAACATGATTACGGGTTCCAACCACCTTCTGGGTTCCCATTCTAGCTGTGTGACCCTGGCTGGTGCCTTTACCTCTCTGAGCCTTGCTTTCTGCCTTTGGAAAATGGGGGCATAAGGACTCCTACCTCGGTGGGGTTGCCAGCCAGATGGAATGAGATTTAAGGGGTACCTAGGACAGACTCTAAGCTTTTTTGGTTCCAGTACCGGGTGGGGGGATCTTCAGTGAAATGGACCCTAATTCGCCCCAATTCTCCCTGCAGTATTCCACCTCCTATGGAGAGAAAGAGATCGATGGAGCATGAGTGAAGGTGAGAGCTGGGGAAGGGCTGTAGTGGCCTTACCTGTACTCTGTTTTTTGATTTGTCCCCTGTGCCTCCCAGATTTGTCTGCCTTCTATCTTCCTATAATTGGTGTGGAATTTTTTTTTAAAGATTTATTTATTTATACAAGAATCGGGGTACAGGCCAGATGTGTGGAAGGGTGAGAGAATTCACCAGAGACAGAGCGGGGAACAGAACAGGCAGACTGACGAAATACACTGCTGAGGGGAGCAGTGGGCGGGACAGGAGAGGGCTGCTGCGCCATGTGGGACCCTCGCTGCACAGCCGGGATCAAACCCGCGTTGCAGAGGCTGCGGACAGCTTCACAGTGCTGTTCTCAAACGCCTACGCCACCAGGGGAGGCATTAGAATTTTTTTTTTTTTAAGATATATTTTATTTATACAAGAACTGGGGTATAGGCCAGAGGCGCGGGAGGGTGAGAGGATTCACCAGAGACAGAGTGGGGAACAGAATAGGCAGACTGGAGAAATACGCTGCTGAGGGGAGCAGCAGACGCTACGGGAGAGGGCTGCTTCCCTGTGTCGGTTGCTCCGAGGCTGGCGGGGATCGAACCAGCGCCGCAAAGACTGCGTACAGCTTCACAGTGCTGCGCTCAACCGCCTGCGCCACCAGGGAGGCCCTGGTGTGCAATTTGATTTAAACTCTCTGCAGCCTCTCAGTCTCTGCCTTTCTGGACATCTCTGTTCTGCCTCCTCTTGTCCCTCCCCACAACCCCACCTTGGGCAGGTTCTTCTTTGTCTCCCTTTCCCCTGCCCCATCTTGCCATGGCCTCCTCCTTGATCTACACATTCCTTTCTGCCTAAGTTCTGCCATGCTCCCTAGTTCCCACTCAAGAAATCCCAGCTCTTCACCACAGTCCACAGGGCCCTGCCCAGCCTCATCTTGTGATTCTCCCCACTCATTCCTTGAAGCCATGGTGGATTTCCTTCTGTTCTTTCATATGCCCAGTTGCTCTCATTTCTTGGCCATTGGATGTTTTCACGCTCTAGAATCTTCTGCTGCCCCTCTTTATCTGGTTCACCTTTCCTGTTCTTTCTGTTCTGCTCTTTGGAATCAGCTCCTTCTTCCAGGAAGCCCTCCTTGACCCTTCCCCAACCTCCCAAAGCTAGAATACCCCACTAATTTCCATAGTACTCTGGTTCCCGCATTCCAGCCTTGTTCAGTGGGGTGATCTCTGGTCACAAGCATATTTCTCCTGGACCTGGATTGTGAGCCTTGGGAGGAAGAGATAAGGTGGTGTCTTATCTCTACTGGGTCCCACCAGTGCTCAGGACAGACCCTCAGTGACTATGTAGGTTGACACCTACCTCCCTCTTCCCTTCACCTTCTATTTCCTGCTCAAAGATGCCCATGGGAGCAGAGTTGGTCCTGGTGGTGCTTGCCATCGTATTTGGCTTGGCCTTGCGGAAGCTGGGGCCTGAGGGCGAACTGCTCATACGCTTCTTCAATTCCTTCAATGATGCCACCATGGTGCTGGCCTCCTGGATCATGTGGTGAGTGGGGATTGGGGAAGCGGCAGCGGGGGTATGAGATATTGTCACCGTCCTTCTGCTCCTTGGAACCAATATCTACCATTTCTTGGCTGTGTTACTGGGACAAGTGCTTTACCCTCTCTGATGAGTTCCTCATCTGTAAAGTGAGGACAGTGTTGTATCTGTGAGCTCTCAGACCGAAGCCTGCACCTTCTGATTTACTGGAAGATAATTAAAGCCACGGCCACAATGTGGTCAGTTTTTGAGATCTAGATGTAACCGGATGTTTGCCTTTGGCTCGGTGTCTGAAAAAATAGTGCCCACTTTAGAGGGTGAGCGTGAAGAGAAAAGCACTTAGAAGGTGTTCTAATTGCCTGGCACCTACTGGGCATTCCCTAAACATGAGCCACGGTTATGATCATTCTGAGTTTTACTAAATGACCCCAGATAATGAGAAGAAAATGTGCAGAGGACTCTGCCTTCCATTCATGCTCCTGCCCCAGTCCCCTGTCTGCCTGGCTGTACCCCGATTCTCAGGACCCTGCCTGCATCTCAGCCCTCCACCCCAGGCCCTCATTCCAAGGCAGCCGAGGTCAGAAGCTGCTGTGCCTTGACTGCTAAAAGTGCTTTGCAGGAGAGATGGGATGGTGGGCGGGTAAGAGCGGGCTCTGCAGCTGGGTGGCCTGAGGTGCCTTCCCAGTCGTGTGCCGGACAACGAGTTACTTAGCCCCTCTGTGCCTCGGTCTCTTCATCTAGAAAATGGGCTTGATAGCACCAGGCACGAATGAGTTAATACAGGTAAAGTTCTTGGGATGGAGCCTGACCTATTACATGCCTACAGTAAACAATAACAGTTAATATTTATCCAGTCCTTAGCTTTTATAATTTCTGGCACATCTCATCTGCCAGAACTTCAGCACTGGCCGAGCCAAGCTTCAGAGGGGGCTGGGAAGTGGTGCCTTTTTCTGTTACCCAAGGAGGGAAAGGTTTCAGGATATAAGTAACCATCTAGATCAAGCAGTCAGGGAAGCCATCCTGGGAGGGGAGCAGCGGGCCCCCCCTGAGATCTGTACTCCCGGAGAGGCTGCTAATAAACCTACAAGTTTATAGATCACTTAATGTGTACAGAGAGCTTTCAACTCCTTTCAGCTGGCATCTCACTTCAGCCCCCAGCGTTCCGTGCGGGGTGGTGGCATCCTCACCCCTGTTTTACAGGCCAATTCGATTTTGTTTGATTCAGCGTCAGCTGTGGGAGACGCTGGTTGGCGCCCCTGCCTGGGCTCGGGTGAAGATTCGGTGGCATTCAAGGGCTCTGCACACCCTGCATCCTTCACACCTGGGAGTTGTCATAAATACACGAGCAGGGCCTTTTCCCCTCTAGGAAGTGGGGACAGAGCGTGTTGCTTTAAGCCATAGTAGCTGCTCTAACAAGCCCCCTGACGTAAATGACCGCAGCCTGGACGGCTCTCCTCTTTCATGGGTCAAGTTGGAATCTGAACGCAGGCATTCAGAGAGCTGATGGAGGCTGCCAGGCTCCGAGGGCCTCCCAGCTGCCTACCTTCCGGGGGAGAGTGTGGTGGGCAGGGTAGAGGAGGTGCCTGAAGGTGGGTGCTTCCTGACGGCCAGGGCAGTTGGAAAGGGGTGTTGCCGTGTGAAGCGCCCAGTGACTGGCCCAGGAGCGGGTGGTCAGAGGCTGGTCTGTCTCCTGGGTCGTTAGGTATGCCCCTGTGGGCATCATGTTCCTGGTGGCCAGCAATATTGTGGAGATGGAAGACGTGGGGAAGCTCTTTGCCAGCCTCGGCAAATACATCCTGTGCTGCCTGCTGGGCCACGCCATCCACGGGCTCCTGGTGCTGCCCCTCATCTACTTCTTGTTCACCCGCAAAAACCCCTACCGCTTCCTGTGGGGCATCACAACGGCGCTGGCCACGGCCTTCGGGACCTCCTCCAGGTGAGCCTTGGGGCCGGCTGTGGTGGTGTGCAGAGGTCTCAAGGCCCCTGAGATGTTTGGGGACGCCGGATGGGGCACAGCGCCATACCTTTGTCAGCTCCTCCTAAGGTCCTAGATTCCCCTCCCTCTAAAATTTAGGCAAGCACTGCCTTAGACCTCCCCTCCCCTCCTGATGCCCTTTCCTCCCTGCCAGGCCTAGCCCTGGGGGGACCGTAATTCTCCATCCTGGATCCAATCTTATGAAACCCCTATCTTTCCTTCTGGGAAGGAAAGGGTCCTGCTCCCTCACAACCCCACCTTCGCAGCAGCATCCCCAAGAACTTAGTAATTCTTGGCCAAGTTCTGTTGTTGGAGATGTGGGGCGTGGGCTATCAGAGAGCTCTCTGACATAGAATTAGGTAGAATTTCCCGTGTATTTTGAGTAATAGCAGTCAGTTGCTCCCCAGGGTGTCAGGGACTTTGCCTTCTGGAATGCCTGCATTGTTGGGGCTCCCTCCTGCCTCTAGGCTCCAGAAAGGGAAGGACATGGAGAGCTATGGAGGGCTGGGCTCCTGGGAGGGAGGCTGGGGTGAGGGTCTAGGCCGGTGGGCGGGGCCTGTGCCAGGGTCAGGTGCTGGTCCTGTGGTCTGGGGAGGAGGTGGGCGGGGCTAGGCTGCAGGGCAGAGGTCAGGTCTGAAATACAGGCTGTGTGATCCAGGGAGGGGATGGGGTCCGGGCCGACCAGGTGTTATGGGTGTTGCTTGAGTGCTAGCAGGACTTAGACCAGGTATGGTGGTCTGTGTGGTGAGCCAGGTCTGAGGGATGGGGAGACGGCAGGTGGTCTATGCAGGGTGGGGTGCTATGGGCGGGGCTTGCGTGGTGGGCGGGGCCGCAGGGCCTGGAAGTGCTTGAGCGCTGAGCTGCGTGGCCCCTTGCAGCTCCGCCACGCTGCCGCTGATGATGAAGTGCGTGGAGGAGAGGAACCGTGTCGCCAAGCACATCAGCCGCTTCATCCTCCCCATCGGTGCCACGGTCAACATGGACGGCGCGGCGCTCTTCCAGTGCGTGGCCGCGGTGTTCATCGCTCAGCTCAATCAGCGGTCCCTGAACTTCGTGAATATCATCACTATCCTGTGAGTGTGGGCTGGGCGCCTGACCATCCCCTGGAACAGATGCAGGTCAAGGAGAAGGGCTCTGGCAGCCTCTCCTGACTGCCCCGCTATACCCACAGGGTCACGGCCACGGCGTCCAGCGTGTGCTCTGCCGGCATCCCGGCTGGAGGTGTCCTCACCTTGGCCATCATCCTGGAGGCGGTCAACCTGCCATTTCACTACATCTCCTTGATCCTGGCTGTGGACTGGCTGGTGTAAGTGTGGGTTGACCTCACGGGGCTCAGAGGTGCCCCAGGGAAGGGGGTGAGCTAGAGCATGTGGGGCTATGTGTGTGTGTGTGTATTTTTTTAATTCATCCACTTTCCTTAAAATATATATATATATATATTTTAAAGGTTTATACATGCGTACAAGAGCTGGGGTAGAGGCCAGAAGCGTGGGGGATGAGAGGATTCACCAGAGACATAGTGGGGAATAGAACAAGCAGATTGACCGAAGTACACTGCTGAGGGGAGCAGCGGGCGAGTCAGGGAGGTCTGCTGTGGCATGTGGGCTTCTCCATGGCCGGCAGGGGGATCGAACTCATGCTGCAAAGGCTGTGGACTGCTTCATAGGTTGCCTCTTAACCCCTTGGGCCAATAGGGAGACCCTGCTAAGAAAACATTTCTTTTTTTTTTTAAGATTTATTTATTTTTATGCAAGAGTTGGGATACAGGCCAGAGGCACAGGAGGTTGAGGGGATTCACCAGAGACAAAGCAGGGAGCAGACAAGGCAGATGACAGAAATACACTGCTGAAGGGAGCAGCGGGCGCAGTAGGAGAGGTCTGCTGTGCCATGTGGGTATCTCCCTGGCCGGCCGGGAATCAAACCGGCACTGCAGAGGCTGCGGACACTTCACAGCTTAGCACTCAACCCGCTGCACCACTGGGGAGGCCCTAAAATTTTTTTTAAACTAACTTTGTAATATAACTTAAGTTTCAGGTGTGCATCGTTGAGAACTAACAAATGTATACTATATTAAAGAGGAAGGGATATCCTTAGGATTCTGGGGAGAATCTTGATGCACCCAGAATGCCCTGAGCTAGGGCTTAGTATGGTCTGAGGGAGAAGAGTATGGTCTTCTGGGCTCCCAAGAGGAGGGAGGGATGGCTTAGAGGCTCCAGAAGGAACCTGTCTTGTGTTTTGTGGGGAAAAAGAATCATTTGGGGTCCTGGGAAGATGGAGGAGGAGTTCTCTGAGATTCTCTAGGCCGAGAAAATATGGGAACCAGAGCAAAGAAGAGGGGTATGAGATTTCTCGGGTTTGAGTTGAAGAGAGATCTTTGAAGGTCTAAGAGGAAGGGCTATTTGGGATTCTGGGAGGATAAAGGGGTGAACTAGGTCTAGAAATAGAACAGGGGAAGGAAATGGATGGAAGTGGAGGAATGATGGAGTGGAGATGGGTGTGATGGGTGTGTCAAGATTCCAGAGGGAGAGGACAGAGGGGCCTCCAGACCCCACTCATTCACTTCCCTGTCATGCCCTCCCCTTCAGGGACCGATCCTGTACCGTCCTCAACGTGGAAGGTGACGCCTTTGGGGCGGGGCTCCTCCACAATTATGTGGACCATTCTGGGTCTCGGAGCTCAATGCCTGAGTTGATCCAGGTGAAGATCAATCTGTTCCAGGCCCCGCTGCCAGGCTCCACTGAGGAGGGGAATCCCCTCCTCAAACGCTGTCCTGGATCTGCTCGGGATGCTGACCCCTGTGAGGAGGAATCAGTCCTGTAAACTGTAGTGGGGACCTTCCCCGCCCCAACGGGGACACTTTGGACATCAGGATGGTGAGAGATGGATGAAACTTTGGGGAGTTTCATGGATGGAATGAATGGAACTCATGGGGTACTGCCCCCGTCTCTGGGGACCAGAAGCCCTCTGCTCCCTCCCCAAAATCAGATAGGGAAGGTCTCGCTGCTGGGAGATATATGTGTACCTGTGTGTGCAAGTGTGTCTCCACAAACCTCCTGAGTCCTCAGCTGCTATCCCCACCCACGATTAGTTAACACCACCCTCTGGGAGCCGGGGAGGTTCTATGGGCGCAACACCCAACTCGCGTCTTCTCAGCCATGCCTCCGCCCTTAATCCTGGCTGCTTCCACTAAGCAGCCTGGGAGCATCCCTCAGGGCTGAGAGCTGGTACTTCCCAGCACCCTGGGCCACCGCCCTCTGCACCAGGAGCCTGAATTTCCCCTCCCGGTCCCAAGAGCCTGATCCTCCTCCAAGACCTCCGCTTCCCAGCTCCCCAGACTCAAGCTCCCAGCCCTCCAGACCCCAGGACCCAGGCACCCTGGATCCTCACCTCCGGGATTCAGGCGACCCGGATCTGCGCCATCAGAACCTCGGCTCGTGAAGACCTGCGTGGTGTGGGTGCCCTCCGCCTTCCGGACCCCAAGTTCCATCCAGAGAAACTCCTGTATTCCCGATCCCCAGAGCCAAGAAACCGCTTCCCCAGCTCCCAGCTTTGGGGCGCCCGGGCACAGCTGGAAGAGCGGAGTTGCCCCAGTGCCCAGCCTGAGGATCTCCGACACCCCCTCTTGCCCACGCGAGGAAGGCGAGGTGTGGTAAATCAAAACTCCAAGGAACTCTTCGAAGTTCCAGCCTCCAGGCTCTGGGCTCAGCTCTCACTTCTAAGGAAAGTCGCGGGAAGGAGCCCCAGGCGTCTCCAGATTCTAGGCACTAAGAAACCCCCGGGTTTCATCATGGTGGCCGATGTCCCTAAGCAGGACCTCAAGGGGTTCGCAGCGGCGGAGCCCACCGCGAACGGTGTTCCAGTGCTGGTCCCTGCGGAGGACCCAAGCGCGCCAGGAGGCGGCTGCTGCCGTTCCCGGTACCAGGTGTGCTGCTGCCTTCGGGCCAACCTGCTGGTGCTGCTGATGGTGGTGGCCGTGCCAGCGGGCGTGGCGCTGGGGGTGTCCGCGGCGCGCAAGCGCTGGGCCCCGCGCACCTGGTGGCCTTCGCCTTCCCGGGCGAGCTGCTGCTGCGCCTGCTGAAGATGATCATCCTGCCGCTGGTGATGTGCAGCCTGATCGGCGGCGCGGCCAGCCTGGACCCGAGTGCACTCGGCCGCCTGGGCGCCTGGGCGCTGCTGTTCTTCCTGGTCACCACTCTGATGGCCTCGGGGCTCGGCGTGGGCTTGGCGCTGCTTCTGCTTCAACGAATTTTTGGGGCCCAGAGGCACTTGGAGAGACGCCCCCACCAAGGAGGTGGACCATTGGTTCCTGTACCTACTGAGGTGAGACCCCCTCCACTGGTGGGGCATGGGAAGGGACTGCTTTGGCCCATTGGACAAGAGGAGGCTCTGGTTCCCCAGAGCCAGGACATCTCTATGACTTTAGGAAAAGTAAACGGGGTGCTGGGGGCGAGGAGAGCCCTGGCCCCTTCAGGGTTGGGGTGTGGCGTGTGAGAACACTTGGCTGGGGGAAGAGGCATCTAAACGTGTGGCCTGTGCCCCTAAGGGAACCCCACACGTGGGTGATAGGTGAGAAGGTCTTTGAGGTAGGAGACAGTGCGGCTTCAGTGGGCGGGTGTGGGTTGAGGGACCTACGAGGGTCTCCTGAATGGGAGAGGACCCTGATGAGGTCTCCTTGGAAGGGGAGCTTTGGGTGCCAAGGGGCCCAGATGGGGCTTCTGGATAAGAGTGGAGTCAAGGAACGGGGATTGGGACCCCTGAGTTCGGACATGAGGTGATACTGGTGACCCCCACATGACCCTCTTCCCAGTTCCAGGGCTCCCACACCCCCGTCACTTGTGGAGCGGACTTGGCCAGTTTTTTTCTCAGGTTGCCTTCCCACCTGGCCCCTGGCGCTTCCACTTCACACGTTCCTGCCATCTCTGACTCCAATCCCCTTTCCTCGCTCTCCCCCCATTATGCTGTCCTGAGGGAGCTGGTTAGAAAGGGCCCCAAATTCTTTTCCTCCTTCTGGCTTCTCCCCCCACCCTCACCGCACCCCCGCTCCTGGCCTTTAAAGAGGGCTACTGGTGGGTCCATGTGACCTTGCCTTGGTGCCTCTGCTGATTCAGTGCCTCAGGTTAGTTGGGACTTCCTGGAAGTGGTGTGTGGGGTGGCAGGGTGAGTCACAGAATCGGGGCAATACACTGGAGCACTCCTGGTGTCCAGGAGGTGCAGTGGGTGGGCACCTTCTGGCTGCGGGAGATTAGCTGGGTCCCAGCCCAACCCTGTCTGGCCTGGGTGGGACCATGCCGGCCTGCGGACGGGCACACCGGCTGAAAGCTTCCTCTGCGTACCAGCTCCCCACCCTCCCACACCCTGCGCAGTGAAAATAGCTACAGCTTGCGCTTGGCCAGCCCCTCACGACTTCATGACCAACTGATACACGGCTCAAAACAGAAACACAGACACCCAGCCCGCAGCAGCTCACCAGACATGGCCTTACACCCGTTGTCACACACACACACACACACACTGATACTGACACCCCCTTAGCAGCTGCTCACGCTATGAGCCCAGCATTTGAGCACCCACATACTCATATTCACGTCACCCCTACCTAGTCCACACCAGCAGTGTCCCAAACATTCTCCCCAACACCAGAACCCTGAAAACAACCCACGTCACTGGTGACGAAGAATGTGAAGAAACACAGAGGTTAGGACCAGGCAGCCAGCTGACTTGGGTTCAGATCCTGGCTCAGTGCCTCATTTTCCTGTTCTGTGAAGTAAGGACCATGGTGTGGGTCCCTGAGGGCTGTGGGGGATTAAGTGAGTTGATGTGTGTGGCGCCCTGGCTGCACTACCTGTGGCTTCATTTCTGGTATTTCTGTCTCCCGGAGACTGCGTGAGGCCAATGTCTGACTCCCTCAGTCGCTCTGTGGGATTTAATGAGTCACTCGGACACCTTCACAGGAGAGTGGCTGTGTCAACACAGATGCATATGTGTGGCATGCAGTCATCTTACCACCCTCTGGCTTCCCCGAACCCTCTGACCCACCAGCCAGCCCCCAGACTCCAGCCCTCCTGGAGGTGGCTGATGCAAGATGCCCAGGGTATTTAGTTTGCTGTAGGGGGTGGAGCTGAGGCCCCAAGTGACCCTGCCCCTTCCTGCCTGGGAAGCCAGCATTCCCCACCCCCATCCACAGTCCCTCAGGGCTGCAACAGCAGCCATCTGGGGGCCCAGGAGGCCAGCTCAGACGCCCCACACCCTAAAAATAAGTGCAGGCCAGATCAACTCTGCCTGATCGAACCTGTCACAGCCCTGGGTGCCAGCATGTTGGGGTGCCCACGAGGCCTCCAAGGTTCCCCTGCACCAAAGAGGCCAACGGAACCTCCCACACCCCCTGACCTCCCTGCTGGTGTCTAACAACCCCTCCTATGTCTGTCTCTGCAGAAATATCTTCCCTTCCAACCTGGTGTCTGCAGCCTTCCGCTCAGTGAGTCCTCTGGTGTCCCGGGGGGTGGACCGGGAGGGAGACCGTGAATTGCCGGCCTCAGCACCTCATTTTGGAAGGTGTCTGGGAAAAACTCATGCCCTCATGTTTACAGGCATATTTATCTTGCAGAGTTCCTGGGTGTCCCTGGAAGCTAATTTATACCCTTTCTCCACAAACAAGATTATGGGTTCCAACCACCTTCTGGGTTCTCGTTCTAGCTGTGTGACCCTGGCTGGTGCCTTTACCTCTCTGAGCCTTGCTTTCTGCCTCTGGAAAGTGGGGGCATGAGGACTCCTACCTCGGTGGGGTTGCCAGCCAGATGGAATGAGATTTAAGGGGTACCTAGGACAGACTCTAAGCTTTTTTGGTTCCAGTACCGGGTGGGGGGATCTTCAGTGAAATGGACCCTAATTCGCCCCAATTCTCCCTGCAGTATTCCACCTCCTATGGAGAGAAAGAGATCGATGGAGCATGGGTGAAGGTGAGAGCTGGGGAAGGGCTGTAGTGGCCTCACCCCCACTTTGTGTTTTTTTGATTTGTTCTCCCCAGTCCCCCAGATTTGTCTCCCTTCTGTCTTCCAATAACTGGTGTGGAATAATTGATTTAAACTCTCTGCAGCCCCTCAGTCTCTGCCTTTCTGGACATCTCTGTTCTGCCTCCTCTTGTCTCTCCCCACAACCCCACTTTGGCCACGTTCTTTTTCCCTTTCCCCTGCCCCATCTTGCCCTGGCCTCCTCCTGGCTCTGCCCATTCCCTCCTGCCCAAGCTCTGCCATGCGCCCTAGTTCCCCCCCTAGAAATCCCAGCTCTTCACCCCGGCCCACGGGGCCCTGCCCAGCCTCATCTTGTGATTTTGCCTCACTCATTTCTTGTAGCCATAGTAGATTTGTCTGTTCTTTCATATGCCCAGTTGCTCTCATTTCTAGGCCACTGGGTGTTTTCACGATCTAAAACCTTCTGCTGCCCCTCTTTATCTGGTTCACCCTTCCTATTCTTTCTGTTCTGCTCTTTGGAATCAGCCCCTTCCTCCAGGAAGCCCTCTCTGACCCCTCCCCACCCTTCCCAGACTAGAATACCCTCTTAATTTCCATACTCCCCTCTGGTTCCCCCATTCAAGCCTTGCCTAGTCTGGGTGATTCCCTGCTCACAAGCCTCTTTCCCCTGCTCCTGGATTGTGAGCCTTGGGAGGAAGCGATAATAAGGAGGTGTCTTATCTCTGCTGGGTCCCACCAGCGCCCAGGATAGGCCCTCAGTGACTATGCAGGTTGACAGGTGCCTCCTCTTCCCTTCCCCATCTGTTTCCTGCTCAAAGGTGCCTGTGGGAGAAGAGGTGGAGGGCATGAACATCCTGGGCCTGGTAGTGTTTGCCATAGTCTTTGGCGTGGCCCTGCGGAAGCTGGGGCCTGAGGGTGAACTGCTCATACGCTTCTTCAATTCCTTCAATGATGCCACCATGGTGCTGGTCTCCTGGATCATGTGGTGAGTGGGGATTGGGGGAGCGGCAGCAGGAGTATGAGATAGGGTCACCCTCCTTCTGCTCCTTGGAACCAATATCAACCATTTGTTGGCTGTGTGAATTGGGGCAAGTGCTTTACCCTCTGATGAGTTGCTCATCTGTAAAGTGAGGACACTGTTGTATCTGTGAGCTCTCAGACCGAAGCCTGCACCTTCTGATCTTACTGGAAGATAATTAAAGCCATGGCCACAATGTGGTCAGTTTTTGAGATCTAGATGTAACCCGATGTTTGCCTTTGGCTCGGTGTCTGAAAAAATAGTGCCCACTTTAGAGGGTGAGCGTGAAGAGAAAAGCACTTAGAAGGTGTTCTAATTGCCTGGCACCTACTGGGCATTCCCTAAACATGAGCCACGGTTATGATCATTCTGAGTTTTACTAAATGACCCCAAATAATGAGAAGAAAATGTGCAGAGGACTCTGCCTTCCATTCATGCTCCTGCCCCAGTCTGCCTGGCTGTACCCCGATTCTCAGGACCCTGCCTGCATTTCAGCCCTCCACCCCAGGCCCTCATTCCAAGGCAGCTGAGGTCAGAAGCTGCTGTGCCTTGACTGCAGGAGAGATGGGATGGTGGGCGGGTAAGAGCGGGCTCTGCAGCTGGGTGGCCTGAGGTGCCTTCCCGGTCATGTGCCGGACAACGAGTTACTTAGCCCCTCTGTGCCTCGGTCTCTTCATCTGGAAAACGAGCTTGATAGCACCAGGCACGAATGAGTTAATACAGGTAAAGTTCTTGGGATGGAGCCTGACCTATTACATGCCTACAGTAAACAATAACAGTTAATATTTATCCAGTCCTTAGCTTTTATAATTTCTGGCACATCTCATCTGCCAGAACTTCAGCATTGGCCCAGGCGGAGCTGCAGAGGGGCCTGGGAAATGGTGCCTTTTTCTGTTACCCAAGGAGGGAAGGGTTTCAGGATACAAGTAACCATTTAGATCAAGCAGTCAGGGAAGCCATCCTGGGAGGGGAGCAGCAGGCTTCCCCTGAGATCTGTGCTCCTGGAGAGGCTACTAATAAACCCACAAGTTTATAGATCACTTACTGTGTACAGAAAGCTTTCAACTCCTTTCAGCTGGCATCTCACTTCAGCCCCCAGCGTTCCTCTCGGGGTGGTGGCATCCTCACCCCTGTTTTACAGACCGATTCGATTTTGTTTGGTTCAGCTGCGGGATTCGTTGATAGATGTCACCTGGGCTCGGGTGACGATTCAGTGGCATTCAAGGGCTCTGCACACCCTGCATCCTTCGCACCTGGGAGTTGTTATAAATACACGAGCAGGGCCTTTTCCCCTCTAGGAAGTGGCGACAGAGGGTGTTGCTTTAAGCCATAGTAGCTGCTCTAACAAGCCCCCTGACGTAAATGACCGCAGCCTGGACGGCTCTCCTCTTTCATGGGTCAAGTTGGAATCTGAACGCAGGCATTCAGAGAGCTGATGGAGGCTGCCAGGCTCCGAGGGCCTCCCGGCTGCCTACCTTCCAGGGGCGAGTGTGGTGGGCAGGGTAGAGGAGGTGCCTGAAGGTGGGTGCTTCCTGACGGCCAGGGCAGTTGGAAAGGGGTGTTGCCATGTGAAGCGCCCAGTGACTGGCCCAGGAGCGAGTGGTCAGAGGCTGGTCTGTCTCCTGGGTCATTAGGTATGCCCCTGTGGGCATCTTGTTCCTGGTGGCCAGCAATATTGTGGAGATGGAAGACGTGGGGAAGCTCTTCGCCAGCCTCGACAAATACATCCTGTGCTGTCTGCTGGGCCACGCCATCCACGGGCTCCTGGTGCTGCCCCTCATCTACTTCTTGTTCACCCGCAAAAACCCCTACCGCTTCCTGTGGGGCATCACAACGGCGCTGGCCACGGCCTTCGGGACCTCCTCCAGGTGAGCCTTGGGGCCGGCTGCGGTGGTGTGCAGAGGTCTCAACGCCCCTGAGATATTTGGGGATGCCGGATGGGGCACAGCGCCATTACCTTTTGTCAGCTCCTCCTAAGGTCCTAGATTCCCCTCCCTCTAAAATTTAGGCAAGCACTGCCTTAGACCTCCCCTCCCCTCCTGATGCCCCCTCCTCCCTCCCTGCCAGGCCTAGCCCTGGGGGGACTGTAGTTCTCCATCCTGGATCCAATCTTATGAAACCCCTATCTTTCCTTCTGGGAAGGAAAAGGTCCTGCTCCCTCACAACCCCAACTTCGCAGCAGCATCCCCAAGAACTTAGTAATTCTTGGCCGAGGTCTGTCGTTGGAGATGTGGGGCGTGGACTATCAGAGAGCTCTCTGACATAGAACTAGGTGGAATTTTCCCATGTATTTTGAGGAGTAGCAGTCAGTAGCTCCCCAGGGCGTCAGGGACTTTGCCTTCTGGAATGCCTGCATTCTGGGGGCTCCCTCCTGCCTCTAGGCTCCAGAAAGGGAAGGACATGGAGAGCTATGGAGGGCTGGGCTCCTGGGAGGGAGGCTCAGGGTAGGGTCTAGGCCAGTGGGCCGGGCCTGTGCCAGGGACAGGGACTGGTCCAGTGATCTGGGGAGGAGGTGGGCGGGGCTAGACTTCAGGGCAGAGCTGGGGTCTGAAATTCAGGCTACGTGATTGGAATGGGGTCCAGGGCGCCCAGGTGTTATGAGTGTGGCTTGAGATTGGCTTGAGATTGGGACCTAGACCAGGTATGGTGGTCTGTGTGGTGAGCCAGGTCTGAGGGATGGGGAGACGGCAGGCGGTCTAGGCAGGGTGGGGTGCTGTGGGCGGGGCTTGCGTGGTGGGCCTGGCCCCAGGGCCTGGAAGCGCTTGAGCGCTGAGCTGCGTGGCCCCTTGCAGCTCAGCCACGCTGCCGCTGATGATGAAGTGCGTGGAGGAGAGGAACCGTGTCGCCAAGCACATCAGCCGCTTCATCCTCCCCGTCGGCGCCACGGTCAACATGGACGGCGCGGCGCTCTTCCAGTGCGTGGCCGCGGTGTTCATCGCTCAGCTCAATCAGCGGTCCCTGAACTTCGTGAATATCATCACTATCCTGTGAGTGTGGGCTGGGCGCCTGACCATCCCCTGGAACAGACGCGGGTCAAGGAGAAGGGCTCTGGCAGCCTCTCCTGACTGCCCCGCTATACCCCCAGGGTCACGGCCACGGCGTCCAGCGTGTGCTCTGCCGGCATCCCGGCTGGAGGTGTCCTCACCTTGGCATTCATCCCGGAGTTGGGTCAACCTGGATTGGCTGTGGACTGGCTGGTGTAAGTGTGGGTTGACCTCAGGGGGCTCAGAGATGCCCGGCGGAAGGGGATGAGCTCTTGGGGCTGTGTGTGTTGTGTATATATTTTTTATTCATACACTTTTTTAAAAAAAATTTTTAAAGTAACTTTGTAATGTAACATTAAGTTTCAGGTGTGCATCATTGAGAACTAACAAGCGTATACCATATTAAAGAGGAAGGGTGATCCTTAGGATTCTGGGGAGAATCTTGACGCACCCAGAATGCCCTGAGCTAGGGCTTAGTATGGTCTGAGGGAGAAGAGTTTGTCTTCTGGGCTCCCAAGAGGAGGGAGGGATGGCTTTGAGGCTCCAGAAGGAACCTGTCTTGTGTTTTGCGGGAAAAAGTATCACTTGGAGTCCAGGGAAGATGGAGGGGGAGTTCTCTGAGATTCTCTAGGCAGAGAAAATATGGGAACCAGAGCAAAGAAGAGGGGTATGAGATTTCTCGGGTTTGAGTTGAAGCGAGATCTTCGAAGGTCTAAGAGGAAGGGTTATTTGAGGTTCTGGGAGGATGAAGGGATGAACTGGGTCTAGAAATAGAACAGGGGAAGGAAATGGATGGAAGTGGAGGAATGATGGAGTGGAGATGGGTGTGATGGGTGTGTCAAGATTCCAGAGGGAGAGGACAGAGGGGCCCCCAGACCCCACTCATTCACCTCCCTGTCATGCCTACCCCTTCAGGGACCGATCCTGTACCGTCCTCAACGTGGAAGGTGACGCCTTTGGGGCGGGGCTCCTCCAAAATTATGTGGACCGTTCAGGGTCTCAGAGCTCGGTGCCTGAGTTGATCCAGGTGAAGAGCGAGCTGCCCCAGGCCCTGCTGCCAGTCTCCACTGAGGAGAGGAATCCCCTCCTCAAACGATATCTGGGGGAGGCCCTTGTGCCACCAGGGAGGCCCCAATTGGACTTTTTTGAAATAAAATATCTGTTCATTGAACAGTGCCACTGAGACACCACTGCCCGTGTCTACTAGAGTGGCAACAAGCAAAGAACAGCCATACTTGGGGTCAGTGAGACATTATAGAATTTAGGTATGGGGCCTCCCCTGGTGGCGCAGCAGTTGAGCGCTGGGCTGTGAAGCTGCGGCGCAGCCTCTGCAGTGCCAGTTCAATCCCCGGCCACTGGTGAGGGGTCCCACATGGCTGCAGACCTTTCCTGCCGCGCCACTGCTCCCCTCAGCAGTGTATTTAGTCAGTGTGCCTGTTCTGTTACCCGCTCTGGCTCTGGTGAGTTCTCTCACCCTCCCGGGCTTATGACTGTACCCAGTGCTTGTATAAACAAACAAACAAACAAATAAATAAATCTTTTCCAAAAAAAGAATTTAGGTATGAATTTGTATGTTTTGCCTAGTTGCATTCCCTACTCTGTGGGACCACAGCGGGGTCCCTGGTACTTTGTTTCCAGGACCAGCTGGAGAGGGCTGTGGGTGCAGAGGCCTGAAGATGAGGGGGAGGGAGGGGCTTGGTGAGTGGGTGGGGCTGGGCCAAGGGTGATTGGCTTGTGGGTGGGGCCTGCTTCAAGGGCGCCTAGGAGGGAGGGGCTTGGGCCAGGTGTGATGGGCAGTGCCTGGTCCTGAGGACCTGGACAACTATGTTGACCCCTTGGGGGGATGTTTGTATAAAGGCAGAACGGGCCCGTTCACTTTGGAAGAAGACTGGGCGGTTTCTTACCAAGTAAATTATACACATACCATACCTGTTCCTGGGTGTTTACCCAAAAGAAGTGAAAACCGTTCACATAAAAGCAGTAGGTAAATATTTACAGCTGCTTTCTTCATAGTTGCCAAAATTTGGAAACAAATCAGTTGGATAAACTGGTCCAATCACTTATGGGATGGAATGGTGTGCAGCCATAAAGTGTTGACCTGTTCGGTTTGGCACAGACAGTATGTTGAGTGAAGGAAGTGGGAGTGGTACTGACTGTCCATCCATTTATAGGGAGGCCTAGAACAGGTGGAGGGTGAGAGAACTCAAGATGGTAACCTGTGGGAGTGCTTATGGCCGAGAGGGCTTGAGAAACCTGTGATGCAGCCAAATTTTTTTTTTTAGGTTTTTTTTTTTAAGATTTTATTTATGCATAGAAGAACTGGGGTTTAGGCTAGAGTTGCAGAGTTTCCGGGGATGAGAGGACTCACCAGACAGGGTGGGGAGCAGAACAGGCAGATCTACTGAAATGCACTGCTGAGGGGAGCAGCAGGCAAGACAAAGGTCTGCTGTGCCATTTGTGGGTCAGCTCCCTGGTCGGGATCAAACTCAAACTCGGGCTGTACCATGATAGCGCTGCTGAGACTTAACCCCTAGGCCGCCACGTAGGCCCTGTCTTCCAGTTTAAAAGTTTGTATGACTCATGGTGGGAAATTCATAACCACCTACTCAGGAGCATGGTTATCCCATAGCAGCTATGCTTATTTTTTTTTTAAGAGATCTATTTATTGATTTATACAGGAACTGGGGTATAGCTCAGAAGCCCGGGAGGGTGAGAGAATTCACCACAGACAGAGCGGGGAGCAGAACAGGCACACGGACTGAAGACACTGCTGAGGGGAGCAGTGGGGGTGGCTGAGAGGTCTGTCACGCCATGTGGGTTTCTCCCTGGCTGGCAGGAAATTGAACTGGCTCTGCAGAGGCTGCAGACACCTTCTCAGCACGGCGCTTAACCGCTGCACCACCGGGGAGGCCCTATGCTTATTTTTTTTAACCCAAACTTTGCAATTTTTTCATCATTTTTTCTATTTTTTTATAAAGATTTATTTATGCATACAAGAGCTGGGGGACAGGCCAGAGTTGAGGCGGGGAGGTGAGAGGATTCACCAGAGACAGAGTGGGAAGCAGAACAGGCAGACGGACTGAAATACATTGCTGAAGGGAGCAGTGGGCAAGAGAGAAGAGATCTGCTGCACCATATGGGTTGCTCCCTGGCCAGCCAGTGGATTGAACTCGTGCTGTAGAGACTGCGGATTGCTTCATAGTGTGGTGCTTAATCCCTTGCACCACCAGGGAGGCCCCAAACTTTGCTATTTGAATGAAAATCCTGTCGTGGGACTGTTCTGAGTTCCGTATGAGTTCAGGATGTGGACACTAGTTGTGGCTTATGTGTTGTAGCAGGATGTGTGTATTACACATCGACATTATCTCTCCTTCATTCTCCGTAGGTCATGGTGTAGACTTGCCAGGTGCCCGGAGGCACCAGCAATCTGGATCCAGTTAGAGATGATGTCGAGTTATCTACAACATCTGGGTTTATTTAGTTACTTCCTACAATCATTGCGGTATGGAAGGGAAGAATAATTTTTTTTTAAAGATTCATTTATTTTTATTTATTTTTTTTTTTAATAGAGGCATGTTTTTCTTTATTTATTTGTTTGCTTGTTTGTTTTTGTTTATACATGCACTGGGTACAGTCAGAAGCGCGGGAGGGTGAGAGAATTCACCAGAGCCAGAGCCAGAGCGAGGGGCAGAGCAGGCAGAAGGACCGAAGTACACTGCTGAGGGGAGCAGCGGGCGGCAGGAGAGGTCTGTGCGCCATGTGGGACCCTCCTCCGGTGGCCGGGGAGCAGCCGGGGATTGAACCGGCACCGCAGAGGCCGCGGGCAGCTTCGCAACCCAGCGCTCTACCGCTGCGCCACCGGGGAGGCCCAAGATTCATTTATTTTTATACAAGAGCTGGGATATAGGCCAGAGGTGCGGGAGCGTGAGCGGATTCACCAGAGACAGAGCAGGGAGCAGAAGAGGCAGATAACAGAAATACACTGCTGAGGGGAGCAGCAGGCGCAGCAGGAGAGGTCGTCTGTGCCGTGTGGGAATCTCCCTGGCTGGCTGGGAATCAAACCGGCACTGCAGAGGCTGCGGACACTTCACAGCACAGCGTCAACCCGCTGCACCACCGGGGAGGCCCTAAAATTTTTTTTAAAGTAACTTTGTAATATAACTTAAGTTTCAGGTGTGCATCATTGAGAACTAACAAGTATATACTATATTAAAGAGGGAGGGAGATCCCTAGGATTCTGGGGAGAACCTTGACGCACCCAGAATGCCCTGAGCTAGGGCTTAGTATGGTCTGAGGGAGAAGAGTATGGTCTTCTGGGCTCCCAAGAGGAGGGAGGGAGGGCTTAGAGGCTCCAGAAGGAACCTGTCTTGTGTTTTGCAGGAAAAAGAATCACTTGGAGTCCAGGGAAGATGGAGGAGGAGTTCTCTGAGATTCTCTAGGCCGAGGAAATATGGGAACCAGAGCAAAGAAGAGGGGTATGAGATTTCTCGGGTTTGAGTTGAAGCAAGATCTTCGAAGGTCTAAGAGGAAGGGCTATTTGAGGTTCTGGGAGGATGAAGGGATGAACTGGGTCTAGAAATAGAACAGGGGAAGGAAATGGATGGAAGTGGAGGAATGATGGTGTGGAGATGGGTGTGATGGGTGTGTCAAGATTCCAGAGGGAGAGGACAGAGGGGCCCCCAGACCCCACTCATTCACCTCCCTGTCATGCCCTCCCCTTCAGGGACCGATCCTGTACCGTCCTCAACGTGGAAGGTGACGCCTTTGGGGCGGGGCTCCTCCACAATTATGTGGACCGTTCAGGGTTCCAGATTTAGGTGCCTGAGTTTATCCAGGTGAAGTGGAGCTGCCCCAGGCCCTGCTGCCAGTCTCCACTGAGGAGGGGAATCCCCTCCTCAAAAGATGTCTGAGGGAGGCCCCAAATTGGACTTTTTTGAAATAAAATATCTATTCATTGAAAGGCACCACTGAGACACCACTGCCCATGCCTACTAGAGTGGCAACAAGCAAAGACCAGCCATACTTGGGGTCAGTGAGCTCTTAGACATTATAGAATTTAGGTATGGGGCCTCCCCTGGTGGCGCAGTGGCTGAGCGCTGGGCTGCGAAGCTGCCTGCAGCCTCTGTAGCACCGGTTCAATCCCCAGCCATTGGTGAGGGGTCCCTCATGGGTTGCAGACCTCTCCTGCCGCGCCACTGAACCCCTCAGCAGTGTACTTCGTCGGTCTGCCTGTTCGGTTCCCCTCTCTGGCTCTGGTGAGTTTTCTCACCGTCCCGCGCTTCTGACTGTACCCAGTGCTTGTATCAATCAATCAATCAATCTTTTCCAAAAAATAGAATTTTTAGGTATGGATTTTTATGTGTTTTGCCTAGTTGCATTCCCTACTCTGTGGGACCCCAGCAGGGTCCCTGGTACTTTGTTTCCAGGACCAGCTGGAGAGGGCTGTGGGTGCAGAGGCCTGAAGATGAGGGGGAGGGAGGGGCTTGGTGAATGGGTGGGGCTGGGCCAAGGGTGATTGGCTTGTGGGTGGGGCCTGCTTCAAGGGTGCCCAGGAGGGAGGGGCTTGGGTGTGATGGGCAGTGCCTGGTCCTGAGGACCTGGACAACTATGTTGACCCCTTGGGGGGATGTTTGTATAAAGGCAGAACGGGCCCGTTCACTTTGGAAGAAGACTGGGCGGTTTCTTACCAAGTAAATTATACACATACCATACCTGGGGTTTAGGCTAGAGGTGCAGAGCTTATAGGGGTAAGAGGTCTCACTAGAGACAGAGTGGGGAGCAGAACAGGTAGATCTACTGAAATACACTGCTGAGGGGAGCAGCAGGCAAGACAGAGGTCTGCTGTGCCATTTGTGGGTCAGCTCCCTGGTGGGTATCAAACTCATGATAGCGCTGCTGAGACTTAATCCCTAGGCCACCAGGTAGGCCCTGTCTTCCAGTTTAAAAGTTTGTATGACTCATGGTGGGAAATTCATAACCACCTACTCAGGAGCATGGGTATCCCATAGCAGCTATGCTCATTTTTTTTTTGTTAAAGATTTATTTATTTATTTATACAAGCACTGGGTACAGTCAGAAGCGCGGGAGGGTGAGAGAATTCACCAGAGCCAGAGCAGGGAGCAGAGCAGGCAGAAGGACCGAAGTACACTGCTGAGGGGAGCAGCGGGCAGCAGGAGAGGTCTGCGCGCCATGTGGGACCCTCCTCCGGTGGCTGGGGAGCAGCCGGGGATTGAACCGGTGTTGCAGAACCTGCTGCCAGGTTCGCAAGCCAGCGCTCAACTGCTGCGCCACCCGGGAGGCCCCATTTTTTTTTTTTTAAGATTATTTTTTTATACAATCACTGGGTATAGTCAGAAGCGCAGGAGGGTGAGAGAATTCACCAGAGCCAGAGTGGGGAACAGAACATGCAGACTTACGAAATACACTGCTGAGGGGAGCAGCAGGCGTGGCAGGAGAGGTCTGTTATGCCATGTGTGACGCTCGCCGGTAGCCTGGGATCGAACCAACACTGCAGAGGCTGCGGGCAGCTTC